GCCAAACTATAAACAATAGAGATCAAATGTTTATCTTACTAAAAAACTGAGATTACATGTTTTAGTAGTTTTAAGGAAATTAAAATAACCTACATTGAATGCTTAGTACAATTTCTGGTGCAAATTGACTACATTCAAGGAATGTTAGTTCCTCACCTTCTTGCTTTCATATTGGCCAGAGGCTTAGAAGATAGCACTGTAATGCTACTACTGCTGTGTTAATTTGTTGAACGTAGTAGATGTAACTGAAATGAGAAAGGAAATTGACAGCAATTCATTTTAAGTTATAATGTTGTTTACCAAAATTGAAATTATTCTGACTAAAGCCAAATGTCTGCTTTTAGCTGATTTAAAACATTTGGTTTTAGTTTTGACCATTTACGTGACAGTAGACCTGAAGACTATTTGCTTATGTAGCTTAATTTAGAAGTGCTTTTGGTCTATTCTTTAACCAAATATATTGTCTCTGTAGACATGAATTGGGTGTAATTTTCAGGTTCTGACAAAGTGGAATGAAAATCCCAGCTGTATCTTTTGTTTTCTAGAAACCAGTTGTCATTCTGTGTTTTCTTTACCCCATTCTTTCCACTACAGCTGTGTTGCAGTGGCTTGGTGACATCCTATTCCATTCTACCCCTACATTTTTTGTCTAGGCAAAACAGGGTTAGGTAGGCATTACTTATCTGGAGGCTCTAACTAAAAGAAGGAAAAAAAAATTTTTTTAATTCTGCTGGTTATACATTTTAAGAGCTTAGCTAATATGGAAGGTCCCAGAAAGTTTGAATTAAAGATAATCAGAACTAATAACAAAACAGGAAAAAAATGAAAAAAGATTTCTCTAGTTCATATAAGAAAGGCAGGTGTTACATGAAGCAGCTCTTCTGGTATGTTATATCCAGAAGATTCTGGGTTGGATGTTAATGATGAAAGTTAAAAATAAATTCAAGTTCACATTGAGTAATTTTCTCAATGACTCATCTAGACTATAGTGCCTTATGTCTATATATTATAGAAACAGAGTCATTGAGATTCTTCTCTTCAATTAAATATTTTCTTTAAAAATGATGTTTAATTAATATTAGCTTTGTGTCTAGAGAGTTTATTAGTGCTAAATTATTTGTTCAATGGTCAAGGCATTTTTTGAGTAAGTGCCTGTTAAGTACTAGGTACTGTGGGATTCAAGAGGAACATGAAAAGAGAACATTCTTGCCTTCATGGAGCTCATTTACTGTGATCTGGTGTATATTTAAAAAGACTTACTGTGAAGATTTACTTGGCATCAAATTTGAAAATGACTCTAGTATTCAGCATCTCAAGTTAGGTGCATTTGAAGAAACCTGTGGTGCTGAGAATGCTCTATATCTTGACCTGGGTGATGATTATGCAATATATGTTTATACAGCTATCAAGCTTCTAATTAAGATTAGTACACTTTACTCATCTCAAGTAAAAACTTTGTGTAGAAAGTAAATTAAATCTATGTTAAAACTGTTTTGTTGTTGTTTCTCATTGCATTTAGAATAAAACCTGTTGTATTCCTTCAAAAAAAAGTACATAATGATAAGCTATTCCATTCAGGTAACATTAATTCTGAAGCAATGCATTAAAATGCAAAAATTGTGTTTGACCAAGTAAAATAACGTGCAAGCTTCCTACATCATCTGACATTTCACTGAAAATTTTAACAATGTGAACTTTAAACTGTGCTCACCTTAAGAACTCTCAAAATAAGCAGTGCTTGAAAGAACTTTGCAGGTAGTGGAACCATTTACTTATAACAAGTGTTAGGTTAAAACCGTAAGAAGTAACTTCTATCAAATGGTTAGAAAGATAAGATCTCTTTTTTTATTCTTGAAGCTGTCTTTAATGCAAAAACAAAGAATCTGAAGTGAGTAGAGAGTGCATGAGGGTTGAAATTTAGTAACTTCATGATGAAATTCTGTTACTTTCCCATATGGACTGGGAAAAGACTTCACTTTGCAAATCAAGAGGAGTCATTGGCACAGACTGTAGAAAGCAAATCCAGAAAACCCCAGGGGAAGCTGTTGAAAAGTGGCCAGATTAAAGGCCTATTTTACTTCTACCTGCTAGGTGTTTTGGTTTTTGGGGTTTTTTTTGCTTTCTTTCATTTTCTTTTTCTTTTAATCAAGGCTGAGGTATGCTAGGGAAGGTAATACAGACTTATCTAATTTTCAGAAGGTTGCCATCTTCCATCCACATTTCCCAGCCTCTGTACTCTTGACTGCTTTATACTCCTAAAACAGGGTTCTCAACTTCAGCACTGTTGACATTTTGGACTGGATAATTTTCTTATAGGGGCCACTTTGTGCAGTCTGCAGTGCTCTACCCACTAAATGCCAATAGCTCAAGTTGTGAAAACCAAGTGTCTCAAGACCTTGCCACATAGCTTCTGGGGGCAAAATAGTCCCAAGTTGAGAACCATTGCCCTTGAAGAATAAACTAAATAATAGTCAGTGACAATTACTAACATGTTATCACCTTTGCTGCTCTTCTGATCTTGTTCCCTCTCACAAGTGGCCCTTTTTTCCCCCAGGAAAATACAATGTTTAAAAGACATGCACCATTTCGTTGGGCAAGAATTGCATTTTGGACAGAAAAATAGAAAACAGCAATAGTACATCAGTTTCTGCCTCTCTTCCCTTTTTTTGGCTGTCAATGAGTATAGCCGAGTCACATGTATCGGTTTCCAATAGTTTGCCAAAATATTTTCTCCTTTTCTAGTTACACAACTAAAAGAACAAAATACTCTCCTCCTTTGTTCTTTATTCTACTGAAGTCTGGCTTAGAATAAGAAGCCATTATCTTAAAAGCTCCCCTTTTCTATATGTTCACTGACATCAGATCATTCTGAGAAATTCAACATATACACTTTGAAATATGAAGTATTTTTTTTATGTTTTTTGATATGTTGTTCAGGACTTATTGAAGGTCTCCCACATAGTGAAAATCTTTCTAAGGAATAATTGCATTTGTAGTTTTGACAATCATCAATCCATTAAAAACACGCAAAGAACATGAATAGCTGATTTACAGAAGAGGCAATACAGGTGTCTCTTAAGCATATGAAAAAATGTTCAACTTATTTTAATAAAAGAAATGCAAATTACACCTACACAACATATCATTTTCACCTAAAATCAAGTTTATTAACACTATGAAACAGGATGTGGAGAAAACAAGCACATACCCTTAACACATTACTTGTAGAAGTATAAATTGGTATAGCCTCCATGAACAGCAATTTGACAATATCTAAAAATTTCAAATATGCATATTCTAACCCATCAAATCTCCTAGAAAGTGTTCCCATACGTACACTCAAAAAGTGGGAAAAGGTGTATATATACAATTACTCACTGGTTATTGTTTTTAATAACAAAAGATTGGAAACAATAAGCACTTATAACTTATCAGCACTTACCATGTAGCACTCAAAACTTAGGTGTTCTAAGCTTTTTTATTTTTAATTTTTATTTTTCTTAGTACATAATAGCTGTACATATTTATGGCATACATGTGATATATCAAGACAAGCATACAATGTGTAATGATCAAATCAGGGTAACTGGGATATCCATCACCTCAAACATTTATAATTGCTTTGTGTTAGAGACATACCAATTCTATTCTTCTAGTTCTTTTGAAATACACAATAAATTATTAACTGTAGTCACTCTGTTGTGCTACTGAACACTAGATCTATTGCTTCTATCTAATTGCATTTTTGTACTCATTAACCAACCTCCTTTTTCCCCCACTCCACCCCACCCTTCCCAGCTACTGGTAACCATTATTCTACTCTCTATCTCCATGAGATCAGTTTTTTTAGGTCCCACATGTGAGTGAAAACATGCAATATTTGTATTTCTGTGCCTGGCTTATTTTGCTTAACATAATGCCCTCTGGTTCCATCCATGTTGTTGCAAATGACAGGATTCCATTCCTTTTTTATGGCTGAATAATATTCCATTGTGTATATATACCACATTTTCTTCATTCATCCGTTGGTGGACACTTAGAT